GTCAATCTTACTTTCTGAGGAGGAGGCTGCCGCTCGTCGTTCCAGTTTTGATGGCAGTCTCTTCCGCGATCCCGTCCTTCGAGATCACCCCAAACTTTTTGGAGAGTTCGTCTCTGAGCTCTGGGCCGCTGGCGTTGTGGAAGTCAGCGATGATGTACTCGAAGAAAGTGGCTTGTTTTTCGTTCGAAAAAAGTCAGGTGCCCTTCGCCTGATTTGGGACACTCGTGTGCCTAACCTTCGGCTCCGCGAGCCTCCTGGTGTGGTATTGCCCTCTGGTGAGGCTCTCGCTCATCTTGAATGCGAGCCCCATGTGATCCCCGTGTTGCACGGGGGCGATGTCGAAGTCTGCTATTACCAGTTCACACTTCCTGAACAGTACAGGTGTTTTTTCGGCCTGCCCTCCCTTCCCATTGCGCACCTGTCCCCGGACCTCGTCGCCGCGCTCCCGGATGCGGCTCGTAATCGGGGCTGGGCCCGCGTGCGGGCTCGGGTGGCGCCGACGGGTTGGAATTGGGCCGTGGCTCTTGTACAGGCCGCCAACCAGTACCAGCTCGATAAAGTTTCCCCCGAGGCCCCGTGGCTCCTAGATAAGGTACCGCTCCCGCCTCTTGGCGACGTTGGGTCGCTCCGCGGACTCTATATCGACAATTTTGTTTCCATTGCCCAGTCTAAGTCGGTTGCCACCTCGGACGTCGAGAGCATGCAGTGCAGTCTCAGCTCGCGGGCCTTGGGATCGCGTCGACCTTGGAGACCTCAGAGGCGGGGGACAATGACTTCATAGGTTTCACTTTGGTGGGCTCGTCTGGGGAGTGGCGTCCTAAAGCTAATCGTTTCTGGAGGTTGAAGCTGGCCGCCGACTATCTTCTAGAGGTTCGACCTGCTATCACAGGGCAGGAGCTGGAGCGTTTCGTGGGCCACGTCACGGCTCTGTTTTCGCTTTCCCCCGAGCTCTTGTGCCTCATGGAAAAGGTCTATGTTTTCATCCACGAGAGTTACACTCGCCGTCAGCCCGTCTGGCCATCTGTTCATCGCGAAGTTCGGTGGATACGTGCTCTTCTGCCCTTGGCTCGTGCCTCGATGCGTCGCCCGTGGTCGGTGCGACATATTGTTCGAGATTGTAGCCTTCATAACACCCGTGTGCTGCTTCTGGGCGATAATATGTCGGTTATTTGTGCTCACGCGAAGGGCAGGTCGTCGACGCCGGCCATGAATTTTCAGTGCCGGCTTTCGTCTGCCCTGGCTCTCGCCGTCGGGCTCAAGCTTCACGACCGCTGGGCCCCCTCGGAGCTCAACGCCCTGGGCGCTGCGAGCCGAGTTCACCAGCCTCGGCACGGGGGCCAAGCGAAAGTGGCAGTCCATGTCCAGCACCGCCTGCCTGCCTCCAGCGCAGTTGGTGCTTGCGGCCCTGTCCGACTCCGACGACGTGGCCGATGCGGGCCCGGGCTGCTCCAGCAGCCGTTCTGTCGGCGCGCTGACGGGCCGCGGCCGCGCGAGCAGCGGTCGCGCTGGGCCGAGCGCCCCTGGGGTCTGCCTGCCCATCCGTCCTGGTGGCGCACGGCGGGTTGCCCGCTCAACCCCCATCTGGCCCTGTGGGCCGCCGGGGCTCGGGCCGCCTGGATCGCCTCCGGGCGGCTACGCGGGCGCGGCTGCTGCTGCTGGCCCCGTTGTTGACCGGCCTCCAGCAGGAGCGGATCCGCCCGGCGACGCAGGCGGGCTACTGCGACGTGCTGGAGCAGCTGGCCGGCTACCTGAATCAGAGGCCGCTGCCCGTTTGGTCGGGCCCGCAGTGGGACCTCCAGCTCCTCAACTTCGTGGAGTGGGCGCGGGGCGAGGGGTGGTCGCGGGCGCTGGCCTCTCGGCTGCTGGCCGCCGTGGTGTGGGCTCAGCCTACGTTGGGCGGCCCGCTGAGCCAGGTCTTCCCCCACGCATACGCGGCCATGCTGGGCTGGCGCCAGCTGGACCCGGGGCAGAGCCGCCCGCCATTGCCCTGGGGTGTCGTGCTGGCCTTGGCGTGGGCGATGCTGCCCGAGTGTCCGGTGGGCGCCCTGGCCATCATCGTCATGTTCGAGACCTACATGCGCCCCTCGGAGCTCCTCAGCCTGACGGTGGGGCAGCTGGTGCCGCCCACGACGTCGCGCGGCCAAGGCGCGTTTTGGGGCTTCTGCGTTCACGTGGAGGAGCTGGGACGACCGTCCAAGACCCAGGAGTTCGACCTGAGCGTGCTCCTCGACTTGGACCGCCACCGCCCGCTCATTCCGCTGCTGCAGGCGCTGAAGGCGGGGCGCGCCCGCGGGGGGCGCCTCTTCGACGTCAGCTCGAGGCAGTTGTACCGGTCCTTCGCGCTGGCCGTGCAGCAGGCGCAGGTCTCTTGCGTCGAGCCGAGCCTCTACGCGCTGCGGCACGGGGGCGCCAGCCACGATCGTCTCGTTCGAGCGCGGTCGCTCCTCGAGGTGCAGCAGAGGGGGCACTGGCGCAGCTTTCGGAGCGTCGCTCGCTACGACAAGCACGCGCGGGTGTCCTTGCAGCTCGGCAAGCTCCCCGCGACGGTGAGGGGTCAGATCGCGGCGCTGGTAGACCGCGGCCTCACGCCCTTCGCCGAGCGCTGCGCCAAGCTCTTGCACAGCCGCAGCCCCTCGGTCCGAGGATCTTTCTAGACCTGTTCTCGGGGGCTGGAGGGCTGGCGGCTGCTTTGGCGGACCGGAATGTCGCAGTCGTCTGCGTCGATATCTGCCACGGGCCGTCGCACGACCTGCTGAATGACAATGCGTTCAACACCCTTCTTTGATGGATTCGATCGGGGCTGGTTGTGGGAATGTGGTCAGGTACCCCATGTCAATCGTTCACGATGGCCCGACGGGCGCCACAGTGGTCACGACTCCCTCATAGGCTGCGCAGTCCTGAATACCCTGCAGGTCTTCCCAATCTGGATGTGCGTGATCAGCGGACAGTTGCCGAAGGTAACGTGCTGGCTCATCGGTCCGGCGTGCTGCTAGAGGCGTGTATCCAGCGAGGCCTGCCGTGTGGGGAGGAGAACCCCTCCCAGAGCTTCTTGTGGCTTGGCCACCGTCGGCCGGCCATGATGAGACGTCCCGAGTGCACGACATAGATTGTTGATTATTGCGCGTTCGGCACGCCTTGGAGAGCTCGCACTCGTCTCAACCTGTTCAACGTTAAGTGTTCGGCGCTGGAATATGCAAAATGTAAGGGCCGTGGCACCTGCAGCTTTTCGGGGAAACCACATTATCAGTTGGACGGGCCCACGGGACGGGGGGGATTCTTGACACGCCAGAAGCAGGTTTACCCCGAGAAGCTGTGCTTCGTGCTAGCCAAGGCTATCGCCTCGTCCCTCAGCCTCTTGCGTGTGCACGAACTGTGGCCAGCCTTCTCTTCTCTTCCTCCCTCCCTGTCCTTCCCCTTCTAATCTTAGGGCCTCGGAGGGCTTTCCTGCTGCAATACCTAACTTGTAAAATTTCGTCGAATAAATTCGCCACTCCAGTGCTGTATGCGGGGGCCCTGTATATGGGCAGAATTGGTTTGAAGATGCTCACCTGTTCACCGCAAGCAGTGGTCTGGAAAGAGAGTAGTCAGGGTCATGTTTGTGCCCCACGGAAATGACCTGACCTCGTCATCCGTTTTCCGCTCTGCAGTCTTTTTGGTTCACCCAGAACCCGGCCACCCCCAAAAAGCTGGGGCAGAATTGGTTTGAAGATGCTCACCTGTTCACCGCAAGCAGTGGTCTGGAAAGAGAGTAGTCAGGGTCATGATGATGATGATGATGATGATGATGATGATGATGGTGGTGGTGGTGGTGGTGGTGGTGGTGAGGAGGAGGAGGAGGAGGAGGAGGAGGAGGAGGGAGGGGAGGAGGAGGAGGAGGAGGAGCAGAAGGAGGATGGAGGAGGAGAAGGAGGGAGGAGGAGAGGGAGGAGGGAAGAGGAGGAGGAGGAGGAGGAGGTGGAAGGAGGAGTGGAGGAGAAAAGAGGGAAAAGAGGAGGAGTAGAGGAGGAGGAGGAGGAGGAGGGAGGAGGAGGGGAGGGGGAGGAGGAGAGGAGGAGGAGGAGTAGGAGAAGGAGGAAAGGAGGAGAGGAGAAGGAGGAGGAGGAGCAGGAGGAGGAGGAGAGGTGGAGGAGGAGGAGCAGGGACGGGGGAGGAGGAGGAGGTAGGGGGTGGGAGGAGGAGGGGAGGAGGAAGGAGGAGGAGGACGACGACGAGGACGGGCTGAGGACGAGAGGGAGGAGGATGAGCGTTGGAGAGGATGGAGGAGGAGGTGGAGGGAGGAGGAGGGCGGAGGAGGAGGAGGAGGAGGAGAGGAGGAGGAGAGGCAGAGGGGAGGAGGAGGAGGTGGAGGAGGAGGAGGAGGAAGAGTGTGGAGGAGTAGGAGGAGGTAGGAGGAAGAGGAGGAGGAGGAGGAGGAGAAGAAGAGGACCGGAGGAGGTGCAGGAGTGGGAGGAGGTGGAGGAGGAGGAGGGGGAGGGAGGAGTGAGAAGGAGGAGGGAGGAGGAGGAGGAGGAGGAGGATGAGGAGGATCGCGAGGACGTCCAGCTTCAGGGAGGGCTAGGGGCGAAAAGTGCGTGCAACCCGCCCGACCGGCGGCCCCAAAAGGCCATGCTCGCTGCCGCCGGCCAAGGCGCGCCCTCGGCCAGGAGGTGGGGGGAGCGCTCGCGTGGAGGGGAGCTTGAACAACTTGGATCATAGTATCCCTACGGTCGAGCATATGATTAAGACACCTCCTTCCGAATAGCCGGGCCAGCGTTTTTTTGTTTTTTTGTTTTTTTTTTGTTTTACCAAGTTGCTTACCAAGTTGCCAGAAATTGGCCACAGTTCTTGAGCGCGTTCGCCCCTCCAGCGTCAATGACAGAAATTGGCCCAGGCTTGTTTTACGAAGCTTCCTGGAAGCTGGCCCAGGTTTCTTAAATGGTAGTTTCCCTGGTCGTATTGTCGGCTGTATGATTGGCATCACCTGATCTCGATGCTTAGCCTAAGGGTTCCCACAGTGTCTG